CCGCCGCTGAGGTGCCCCCCTGGGCTCATGGGGACCGGGGGAAGGGGGCCGGACCCGTTCCCGAAAAACACCGCCGCCCCGCGCGACCCCAACGCGCCGCTGAGCCCGTAGGGCGCCGAGCCCCCAGTGCCGCCCGCCCGGCCCCCGGCCGCCGCCGCCGCACGCCCGTTGCTGCCCCAGCCTCCGCCGTCGGGCCGGAGTGGGAGCTCGAGCAGCTGCGGGCCAGCTGCCGGCATCGAGTAATCCACATTGGGGGCGCTGAAAAGGCTGGTCCCCCCCAAGGGACCGACAAGCTGCCCGTCCGTGCCGCCGCCGCCGCCCCCGCCGCCGCCAAACGCGCCGTCCCGCCAGCCGTCGCTGTAGCCGCCGCTGCCGCCGCGGCCCGCGCCCAACTTACCGTCTTTTCTTGGCAGCAGGTGCCCCGCCGACGCCGATGCGGCCCGGCGCCGCTGCAGCGCGACGGCGGCGAGCAGCAGCAGCATCGCCGCCGCGCTCGCACCAACGGCGACGCCCGCAATCTGCGCGGCGCGCAGCGGCGCGGCGTGCGGCGACGCGCCGGCGCCCAGGGCGGCGCCGGTCGTGTTGCAGACGTCCCAGTGCCAGTCGTCCCCGTTCCCGGCCGGCACGCCGGTGCAGGTTGACCGGTCGATGGTGCACCACGGCACGTTCACTCTGTTGGCGATGTTGGCAAAAGGCGAGGGGGCCGTTGGGGCCCCCGGCGGCGAGTCGAAGCGGAGGGGCAGAGCCCTGCAGGGCGGGCGCGCGGGGGGCGGCGGCGGGCGGGCGGCGGCCCTGAGGCCCCGGCAGCTGCCTTCGGATATGAAACAAACCCTCCCTCACACGCCCGGCGCGTTTGGGCGCGGCGTGGGCTCGCGGGAGGGGGTGGGTGCGGGGGGGCCCCATGGAGTTGACCAGTTTGACCCACCTGTGCTGCCAATGGGGTGCGACGGCGCAGACGCCCCAGTGTAGGTGCGAGCTGTTGTCATACCACTCCCCCTGTGTGGAGTCGAGGCGGCGCCGGGGGCGCGGTATGCGGCGTGGGCGGGGGCGAAGATCGGACGGGCCTGGGCGCTTGCGGCCCGGGCGGAGCCCTGTCGCTGCACTGCCGCCGCAGGCCGCGCAGCGGTCGGCGGTCAGCAAGCCGCCGCGCGCCGCGCAGGTGGCGAGACAAGCAGAGGCGCCCGCGCGGCCGCCGGGCTGATGGCGACGGACGCGTCAAGGAGCGGTGCACTGGCGGAGGGCCAGCTTCATGCGTGCGCTCGCGCCGCGCGCTGACCTGGCAGAGGCAGCCCGCCGCCGTGCGCTGCCTGACCTCCCCGCAGTAGTCAAAGTAGATCATCTTGCTGCCCGCGCCCGTGCCCGCCGTGTACGTCGCAAAATAGCTGTCGCAGGGGAGGGGCAAACCAGGGACACCAAAGTTATGTCAGCGAGCGCGCGACGCGCGGGCACGGCGTGTGCATGGGTCCCGGTTGAAACCAAGGGGGGCCGACCAGGAGATTCGAGCCCGCGGGGGCCGAATGGGGCGCCCCGCGGCACTGCGCGGGCGGCCCGCGTCGCCAGGCGCCCCTCGGGCCCGCCCGCCTCGCCCCGCCCGCAGCGCGCGCACCTGGGGCACTCCCTGGGGTCGACCGGGCACCACGCCCCGCGCGTCAGGTGCGTCGGGTCCGGGTCCGCGCAGCCGATGTAGCTGCCGTTCGGCGCCCCCGTCACCAGGTCAAAGTAAGTCCAGGACCACGGACTGCACTTGCAGCCGGACTGCGTCGTCGAGATGTAGCCGCCGAGCGCCGCGACGCCCTCGCGCCGCGCGAACGCGTAGGCGGGCGTGTCGGGGATCGGCGGCAGGCCGCCGGCGGCGGCGCGGTCGAGAGGCAGCAGGCGCTCGCGTACCGCCTGGTAGGCCGTATTGGAAGTGCAATAGTCAAAGTCGCGGCTGTAGGTCGGCACGTCCGAGGCCTTGGGGTTGTTGCTGCACGTCTTCGCCACCGTCTCGCACCACGGCCCGCCCGCGGCGCTGCCGTCGGGGTTGGGCGCGTCGGCGCACTTGCCGCCGATGATCACGCCGCTCGAGTTGTGGTAGGGCTTTCCGTGCATGGCGTTGGTGCCCGGCAGCTCCCACACGGCTTTGCACAGGCAGCCGAGGTTTGTCACGTCGCGGCTGGTGGTGCAGTAGTCGTAGTACCTGCGGCGGCGGCGGGCCGCAGCGGCGCGGCGGGCGGCGGGGCGGGCGGCGGCTCGGTCGAGGCGCGGCCGGGATGGCGGAGCGCCGCTGTTTGCCAAATGCAGCCGGTTTCGTGCGCTGCACGCGCGGCGGGGCCCCGCGCCTGGCTTGGTGGCCGGGTATGCCCATGTGTGAAAGGGGGGAGGGTAGGGCAAGCGGGCTGCCCCAGCAAACTGAGATGAGGCGCCACTCACAGTTGGCCTTCGGATGAGCCGGTCCTGTTGGAAGATGGGTAGACGCCCTGATACCCATTGCAGCTGTGATCCTTGATATCGACCAGGCACCTGCGGTGGGTGCGGCCGCGGGGCGCGTGCAAGGCGAGGGTCTCGGCGGCACGCGCGTGGCGCTTGGGGCGGCGCAACCGCGGCGGCGGCGGCGGCGGCGGGCGGAGTGCGAGTCGCGCGGCCCGGGCACGGCGGGCCGATGTGGACGCGGGCCGGCGTGGATGTATGAAGAGCGAGAGAGGCAGCACGCTGGGGCTGGTGTTGGGCGCCGCTGGCCCCTGCTAGCCTTTGCGATGCCAACCGCTCCGCGTCCAAGCCCCCGCCTGCAGGCTATCTGGCAGCCCCGCGCGTGCGGCGCGTCGCCCCGCCGCTGCTGCAAACCAGCAAGCAAAGGCAGCGCCGCCAGCCCAGCCGCAGATTTCCACTCGCCGTCAGCCGGGCGGCCGGCCGCGGGCCGCCGCCGCCGCGCCTCCGAAAATGGAGGGCGCGAGCATGGCTACTTCCGCCCCGCTCACCAGGGCAGCACGTCGCCGTCCGGGTTGGCGCAACCGCGGAACGTCTTTGGGGTCCCGTTCACCTCGATACTCCACTCATCGAGGCACGGGCTGCCGGGGCGGTGGCGGGCGGCGCGGGCGCGGGTGTGAAGGGGGGCGTGCGCGCCCCGAGGAGCTGTGGCGGCGGGGCGGCGGGCGCGCGGAAGGACATGCACGCGTGCGCGCCTGGCGCCCCACTGCTGTCATCGACCCGGATGCCATTCGCCTCACCATCCCATGACGAGCTGCACGGGCACAGCCGCCTGGCGCAGCGCCCGAGGCATTCGCTGCAATGCCACAGGCGCTGGGACCGCCGCTGCATGGCCATACCGCTGCGCGTGCGCCACCAGCAGCACCCATGCCAGCCACAGCTTGGCTTCGAGCCTAAGAGGCATACGGAACCATGGAAGGTCACAGTGCCACAGCTCTCATCACCGGCAAGATCGATCAAGGAAGGTGGCCACCTCAGAGCGGCAACCGGAGCCACCCGCAGAGCATCCGGGTTCTATCCTCAGCTGCTACCAAAGCTGTCAGAGCTGCCAACGTCCGGGGCGATGATGGCGGTGTGGCTTCGCTGGTGCGGAGTCTGCTCGCCGGGTTTTGAGGAAGTGGCAGCACAACACGAAATACGGTTGTGATAATGGCGTGGCATTGAACATCAAGCCTTGCCATGCCTGGCCATCCATCTAGAATGAGGACCACCACCACCATTGGGTGGGTGCCGCCGTTGTGCGTTGTCACTCGGCCATGATACCCACGCACTGCGCCGCGCCCCTCGTTGCTGCGTGTCCTTGTGACGGCTGCTGATGGTCGAGTTTGAATGTGACAGATGAACTTGCATGACACATTCGCGGGGCTGCGCAAAGGGACGGCCGGTTCTTGCGTGCGTTGCTCAGTACGGTAGTAGTTGGAGGCCTCACTCGACCCTCCTACTGGTTCGCAGTGCCGGGCGCACGGGGACCCGCATCTATTGCACGGTGGCGAGCGTGGTTGCATGTCGCAGTGCATTTCAAAGGCCGTCCCATCGGCGTCATTCAGCCGGTGCCGCCTCACTTGACCCTGCCAGCCGCTCGCGTGAGGTCGGCTTTTTCAGAGGCCTACCACCTCAAATCAGCTAGACGGGGCCGCCAGCCATCCGCAGGCCTCCCTGCCCCAATCCATCGCGCCCAATCCAACGCGCCGTGCGGGTGCCACACCGCCCACTACCCAGCCTCTTACTTGTGAGCTGCCGCCCGATGCGACAAGGGCAGCAGGGAACCAGCTGAACGTCGGCCCCAGCTTGTATGCAGCATAGCAGTGGCCTGCAGTGGCTTGACACCCTTGCGAGACGTGCCTGGCAAACGGCTTCGTATGGCCCCTGGAGAATGCTTCACCCTGCACGTCATATTTATCTTTGCATGATGTTGTTGTTGATGTGGGTTGGCTGGCTCTTGTTCCGATCCTTGTGACAACCAGAAAGTGACGCCCTGTGAGGCTTGTGTTGCACGAGAGGGTTGGAGGGGCGGGTGCTCAAACGCCGGAACAGCACACACTAAAAACACATCAGCAGGCACCCAGCAAAGAATGTGTCCGGCCTTGTGAAACAATCGGGCAGGCAGGCGACAGGCAAGGCGCTTCATGGATACGTGACCACAGTACTGTACTTGGAGGCGCTCGCCAGGGCACGCGAGTAATGCTGAAAAGGTGCCTCCGACGAGGGTTTGTTTGGGGGCTTGGCAGAACCCGATGTTCGGTGCTGGTCAGTCGGCAGCATATGCCATTCAGTGAAGAGGTGGCACATTCAGCGCAGCCTGTGCTGATTGTGGCACCAGTGCCTCAGGTTCCGCCAGGGTTGCTGAGCCGGGTGCGTGGCTAACGCCTCGCGCTGAGGTGCGTGGCTAACGCCTCGCACGCAAAGAGCTGCAAGACCCTGCAGTGCAGCCGGTCAATATGCGAAATGTGTGCATCCAAGCAGAAAGCACAGTTTCACGTTGCGAGACAGCGACCCCCTTTGTCATTGCTGCAAAATGCCACCGCCCAGCCCGCCGATCGTGGTCTGGGCTCCAGCCCGGGGCCCCAAGCCGCATCAAGTGCCGCGAGTGGCGCTCACACCGGCGCTCGCAGGCAGAGAGGCGTTCGTTGCAGCCATGGCCTGCAGCAGATGAAGCCGCACCTCATCCTCTTCATTCTCGCTGTGTACACCGCAACCCGTCTTCTGCTGCCCTTCGCCCTGAGTCTGCTGGCGGGGCTCCAGCTGGTGCTCTTGTTGCTGCGGCTGCTGCTGTACAGCAGCAACATGTTGCTGCTGCTGCTGCTGCTGCTGCTGCTGCTGCTGCTGCTGCTGCTGCTGCTGCTGCTGCTGCTGCTGCTGCTGTTGCTGTTGCTGCTGTTGCTGTTGCTGCTGTTGCTGTTGCCAGTACTGCTGCTGCTGCTGTTGCTGGTTGTAATGCCACCATTCCTCAACTTGACCCTGCTGCAGAGGCTCATCAGCTTCCAACGTCTGCTGTTGGATTTGACTACTGTGCAGCAGTTGATTGTGCCACACTTGCTGCTGATGCAGCTGCTGCCGCTGCTGTTCCAGCATCAGCTGCAGCCTGCTGAGCAGGTCTGGACGGCTCTGCTCTGCTGGCATGTGCTGCAGAAGCTGCTGGTGCCGAAGCTGCTGCCTTGGCTGCTGGCTGGGTACTGCTGATGCCGCCCCAGGCCCCCGCAGCATCGAGCCGTACGACATGCCCACCTCTGGCGGCACACTGTGCTCTGACAATGGCCGCAAGTGGGCAGCTGCCGGCGCCATCACCACGTGGCTGCTGCTGCCGCCGTAGCCGCCATAAAGCCGTTGCAGCTCACTCTGCCGAAAGGCGAGAAGCGAGAGCGCCGCAGCATCGCACTGCTGCTGCTGTGGCTGCTGCTGCTGCAGCGGCGGCGGCTGCTGTGCTGCCTCTGTCTGCATCCGCAGGCCCTGCATTCTGGAATCCAGCAGAGCCAACAGCGCCGGCGATGTCTCGCTGCCAGCGCTTTCATCTCCACTCCCATGCTGCGCGACACCCAAGGCCGCCAGCGTGCTCGGGTGCAGCACGCGCTCCAGGCTGTTGGTCAGTGGCTGCAGCGAGCCGCCGGAGGCGCCCAGGTACGCGTCATGCACCTGGAGGCTCGGGAAGCACCCCGCCCGGGCATCCACCCCTGCGGCATGCAGGCTCGAAGACGCGAGTGCATCCGCGGGGACGGCCCCCGGCCACGGCGGGCCGGCGGCCCCGCTGCCCAGGCCGCCCTGCTCGGCTTGCCACGCCTTGCGACTGAAGCCGCTGCGGGCCCCTCGGCCGGCGCCGGCGGCGCTGTTGGTGCCTGCGGCGGCCGCCGCTGCTGCTGCGGCCGTGCCAGCCGCGGCTGCTGCTGCCAGGTCGGGGCTCGAGCCCGATGGCAGCACCTGAAGCGACCCATGACTGTATCCGCCCGCAACGCCCGGCTGAGCGACACCCTGTACAAGGGCGCGGCCGCTGCTGCCGCAGCTGCTGCTCCGCCGTGGTGCTCCCCTGCCCTGCACGCCGCCTCCAGCGGAAGGCACTAGCACAGGCGCCGGCATGGGCGCAGAGGGCGCTGCCCGCGGCGCTAAGCCCCAGCGTGTCGCAGCTTCCGCCATTTCCGCTTGCTGCCGCGCGTCCACACAGCTCATGTGTGTGTTGCAGCTGGGGCCCTCAGGGCGCAGGTCCCTCACCCTGTGACCGTTCATGGACATGGGAGCGAGCACCTGAGCCCTCCGCTGGACGTGCCAAGGCGGGACTGGGCACAAGCACGCCTCGCACGAATTGCGACTGTGGCCGCTCCATCTGAGCATAGGCTATGCGCCATGGGTGCAACCTTGGACGCATGAGACGCACCTGTGTGCAAAAAAGCAGACTTTGCGGTTGCACTCCTGGCCGTTGTTGCACATCTGGGTTCTGAAGCGATCTGTGGTGGTGTGGGGCACGGCCAGAGCGGCGCAACACCTGGTGGCACGGACTGCAACTGGGTGGGGCGTGACGACGCGGGAGCACAGAATTTCGCGTGTACGCAGCGACGCAGCAGAGACCAGGCCGTGGAGTAGACCGCCATGATTGTCTTGCATGTGGTGCGATTTTGCGGCGACTGAAGAGGCAGGGAAGGGGAGGACGGTGATGAGAACACAATTCACCTGGGTGCAGCCAGAACTCCAGCCTGTGGAAGCAATCGAGCGCAGGCAGTTTGGCACAGCATCAGCACAGGCCGTCTGGTGCAGGTCACACATCAGTCCAGCTTAGCGCAGGGAACCCAGAACTGTGCGGTGCGTGGTGCATGCACAGATGCAGAGTCGCCATGCAGGGCGCTGGGCCCCCTTACAGGCTGTGCGCCATAGGGCAGTGCTGGCCCCTCGGGCAGGGGCGGCGCTGCGTCACGTCGGGGCACGGCACTGAAGCGTAATTGAAAAGCAACGGGCATCGCCGGCGATTCTGCGGCAGGCGTTTGTGGCCAAGGGGTGGTCACTGGAGCTGATGTATTGGGCACCGGCAGTAGTCCGCGCGAGAGGATGGCCCTGAGAGGAGATGGGCTCAGGCAGCAAAATGCATACGCATGTGCTCGTTCCCACAGCATGCGAGGGCAAAGCTGGGAAGCAGTGGTGCACAGGTGCATGCAAAGTGACTGTCATCCTCCATGTGTGACTAGGCCACGACTGCTGCCGGGCAGGCCGGTTTGCGAGACCGCCCCACGTCGCCTCGCCCCTCACCTGCTCCCGAGAGTGCGCGTAGGGACATTCTGTCCATGCGTGTGGCTCGCAGCGCGTGCAGTCGGCGACCTGCCAGGGCGCAGGGCGCGGCACGTGCGATTGACCAGCGTGCGGCAGGTAGAGGACCTCCGGACTGGATGGCGGCGCGCGTCCTGACGCATGTGCGGACGCTGGCGGTCTGCTGCTGAGCCAGGCAGGCGCTGCTGTCTATCACGGCAACGAATTACACCTCAGCAGTGGGCGCCTGCGCCCACTGCGGCAGGGTATGCCTGCCATCTCTCAGACAGCTCCTCCAGCACTTAGTCCCACGCCAGCCCCGCTGCTGTCCCCAGATGCGCAGCCATGCATATGCTAACGCACTTTGTACTTAGCAGTAAAGAAGCGAACAACCTCTTCCTCCGGGTCTTCGCTGGCTTGGTCCACCGCAGCTTTCCCAGTCAGATCAGACTCCATTAGTCGTTAGATCAGAATCCAATGCATCTTTGAGAGCAATCTGACAAATTCGCAGAGCTTCCACGGGTTCTCACACACGCCATTCGTTGCGGTGATTGCTTGACTGCCCGATGCGGGCTGTTCGCGCTTTGTTCCAACTTGAATGGTTTCACGTGGGTAGAACTGTGAAAACAGGTCACTAACAGGCCGTGCCAGTGGTCGGCGAAGGCCGATCCGCAGGCGCAGCTGCGCGTCAGGGGTGGGGGCGTGTTATGAACCAGGTTGCGGCCTTGTTCACGACTTGCAGCCGGGAGCAGCGTGGTTGGTCATTACCAGTCCCTATGCCACCCTCTTTGCGCTGCGCTGTTGTACATAATCATACAGCACGTCATACAATACAGTCCCCTGGCCTTAAGGTCAAACTCATCAACAACTTGTCTCGACAGCTGAGTTTGCACACGTGCCCTGGCAGCCAGTGGAAAGGTGGGGAATGGCAGCGTCTCAGCCCATGCCAGGTGGCACGAGCGTTGCACGTGTACCGCATGTGCCGTCGAGCATATTGCAAGGAGGCTCAAGCATGATGTTCCAGGGAAGCTGGATGAGCGTTACTATACCACGGTATTGCCATGCCTATGAAATGTGAGGTCGAAGAGAAACAAGGCAGCTGCCTGTTATCGGTAGAACAAGCTGCTCTATGTGCTTGTCAGCAGCATGTGACCAGTGCCAGCCCTCACGCGCTGCTGCCCAGCTTGCCACTACCCAACGCAGTGGCCACAAAATCCGCCTTCCCAATGCCACAGCGAGCGCACCGCCGAAGCGCCATCAACCCAGCAGCCGCCTCTGGCGTCACTGCACAGCGCCTACAGCTGCAGCCCTCTCCACGCTAGAGCGCAGCGTGGCGATCACCTCCCCTGGCCTCTCTGCGCCAAACACCGCGCTGCCAGCGACGATGACATTCGCGCCCGCCGCCGCAACTGCGTCGATAGTCGAAGGGCCCACGCCGCCATCCACCTGCGGGATACATGGTTGAATCCGTGGTCGATGTGCATGCATGCACGATCGCAGGCTAGACCAATGGCTGGCAGATGCATGCGTCCACCATGCTGGGCCCATGTAGCCGCATGCACGGCCCATGTTGCAAGAACCAACGCGCATGCGCACCCATGCACGCCAAAGACCCCATGCGGCCTGCTGCCACACAGCATTTGAAGTCCGAAGGCCACTCTGTGCTGCTGAGTAGCACAACGCACCTCAATGTGCAGGCCGGGGAACTTGGCCCGCAGCGGCGCGCATTTGCTGACTGCGTCCTCCATAAACTTCTGGCCCCCAAAGCCGGGGTTGACAGTCAGGACCAGCACCTGTGCCAGGCAACACAAAGGCCATGATTCGGTGCTTCAAATGGCGGCGTCATGCATGGCACGCAACTGCAGCGAGGTGTGCCTACGCTTGGCTCCGCCATGGAGAGGCGGCAGCATCGTTGCGTCCACACACCCAGCCAGGAGCTGCAGCTGGCAAGCTGGATCAAGGTGCCGCCTTGGATTCGCAGCGTGAGCGCCCCAAAGTGGCGCACCAAGTCCAGCAGCCCGGCCTCGATGTAGGGGAACACCAGCTCCGCCGGTGTCGAAGGCTTCAGCGCCACGCCGGCCTGTAGAAGCGCGCGGCCGGCATATGCCCCTGTTGACATGCTGCCGCGCCTAGTTCAACCGCCGGCATAATCATCAAGTGCACGCATGCATGCAGATGCATGTGGAGGCACTCCGCAGCGTCCATGCAACGCACCTGCATGCCGGCGGCTCGCACCGCCTTTGCCAGGTCGGCGACTGCAGGGTGTGCTGAGCTGGCGCTCAGGTCGGCCACGTCGGCAACCGCCTCCAAATGGAACGTGAACATGTCAGCTCCCGCCTTTGCAAAGTCCTGGGGGTTGTGGCATATTCTGGCGCGCATGAAACAGGTAGCTTTGAATGCGTAAGAGGGCGGCTTGGCCGAGGCGGGGCGGGCGGCTCCTGCTGTGCCCAAGGCGCCAGGAAACGGCAGCCCCCCCCCCCCCGACCTGCTCCTCTGCTGCAGCAGCGCGGGCCCAGCACGTGCGACGCACGCCGCGACCCACACCTGCACCCAGGCGGCGGGGTCTGACACCATGAGGTGGCAGTCGAAGAAGGCCTTGGAGTGCTTGCGCAGGCACGCCACCACAGGCGCACCCAGTGTCAGGTTGGGGACAAAGTGGCCGTCCTGGTGGGTTCAGTGAGGGTAAAAGAAGGCAGGGAGGAGGCGTCCAGGCTTCGCAATTCGCTTGCCACAGCGGTGTGTGCACCCCACGAGCTGGTTGTAGCTTGCCATGCAAAAGGCAAGAAGGGGTGTGCGCTGTCCCACAAAAGAGATCCGCCGCATGCACAGCCGTGCTTTCAGCACGATTTGCAAGCTGTGAATCAGCAGCAGGTAGGGTGTGAAGCAAGCTACTGCGTTCGTGGTGGAGCTGCCTGCCGCCGCTGCTTGGCTGCCACAAGCCCCCTGTACGCTACCGCTGATGCCGCCGCGCGCAAAGAGCAGCAGCTGGATCAGCGCCGCACCATGACATCGATGTGCAGCCAATCGGCCCCCAGATCCACGATTCGCTTGCACTCATCCGCCAGGGTGGCAAAGTCTGCCGACAGGATCGACGGCGAGATCAGCGCTGCAGGGCGGTCGCGACCAGCCGGCAGGGCGTCCAGTGGAGCGGCAGCCGCGCACGCGCCATTGCCGTTTGCGGCAAGGGACTCCGTGACGGAGGCCATCACGAAAACAGGCACCCCTGGAGCTAAGCACGGGGTGTAGCTGTGAATGGATGCAAACTACACTTCACGTGCGCCCGCCGAGCCGATCTGTGAATTGAATGTTTTGAAAGCGCCGTATACAAATAATTTGCCTAAACTGCAGCGAACAAGCATACACAGCCCAGAAAATGCCCAGCTGGTTGCATGCCGACGCAGTGCGGTAATATTCAGTCGTGCGGCGCGACGTCATCGCTGCCCCCCCTTGAGCCTTGCCGCAGTCCCCAGCAGTCTTGAAATGCGCTCCACAGCCGCATGCCAGCGAGTTGTACCATAAATGATGAAAGACTGGAGGCATGCCACGATATCAAAAAGCTCGGAATACACGACGACTGTGGTCACAGGCAGGGCGCAAAAGCAGTGGCGAGCTTGGCGCAAACCTGCCGTCATGCCGGGGTGCCCATCGGGTCGGTCTCACGCTGCTGCTGTACTGCATGTCATTGAGCTGGCCCACGGTGCCTCGCCAATAGCAATTTAAAGCAGTGACCCTGAGCCTGCAGATCGTGTGCTGCCATCCCCCGCGCCGCTCCTGCCGAGGTCGAACCAGCCGAGCCCCGGCGCCGTGTTGACAGGTCAGCAGCACTGCAGCCAGGTCTCCCCGCGCGACGCACGAGTCGGCGTGAAATGGCCGTCGTGAATGCAGTTGGTTACTCATATCAATGCGTCCCCTGCTGGGCCCACGGACACCGGCACCTGGGCGCCGCGTGGCATTCCATGTTTCGGCTGGGGCCTTGGCCTAGCTTTGGTGTGTGTGTGTGTGTGTGGTTGGGTATTTGGGACCAGACTCATTGTAGGGTCCGGCCCGTCAGGATCAAGACAGGCAAGCATCGCGCACGCATCGCGGGCGCGACGCACAAGAGGAGCGCCTCTGGCGCCGCCTCTGCGCGGAGCTGCCCCGCGCGGCGCAGCGCTGTACAGGGAGGACAAGGCTATAAAGCAAAAAGCAAAGGGGGGCGCTGGCAAGGAGGGGCGCCCAGCGTGTAGCTTGGTAGTAAAAGAAGCGCGCTCGCAGGTGGGCGGCCAGCACGACAAGAGGCGCGCGCGGTGCTGCGGCGAGCCGCCGTGCTCCGTTGATGCGAGGGGCCGGTTGTGCGTGCACCCAATATCAAGGCCGCCCGCCTGTCGGTGGGGCCGCGAGTGGAGCGGCGTCGGCGAGGGGGTGGCGCTTCGGCGCCGTTTCGACCGGCAGCGCCCCCGCGTCGCCGGCGGCTGCGTGCCGCTGGCGCTGGCAGGTCGGCCTTAGGAGGGGTAGCCCCGTGGTAGCTCAGGCAAATGCAGTAGGCGGCAGGGCAGGCCCCAAACCTGCCGCCGCGACGCGGCATGTGGTAAACAGGCGGCTCACGGCACGCGTGCGGCTCCGCGGCGCTCGAGAGGTGGGGTGTCTGGGGCGCTGGGCGCGCGCGCATGGCACAAAGGGGTCAAGGAAGTGGACGAGGTGAGGCGGCGCCCCGCGGGCGCCGCGCGCACGTGCACGCAGCGGGCAGCACGAGCTGAGGCTGTGCTTGCCCAGGCGGGGGCTGCCAGCCTCTGCCTTCCGAAACAGCGCGAGCGACTAGACATGTCTGAGGCGTAGAGAAAGTGCGGGGGGGGGGGGGGGAAA